AGAGAGAGATGTACTTCCACGCTATTAGATCCAGCTAGACAACCTTCCACGCGTTCGTTTTAGGATCGTGGAGAACGTAGGATTACTACACAACCTACTCTATCACACTTATAGTCTCCCGCGGGAACCAGATCTACGATCTTTGATGTATCTCTCTCGTTGATTAGTTTTCTAGCTTTCTAATCTCTCATAACTTTCATTCTCTCAAACTCAAAACACCGAAAGATCTTACACTAGCTTTTAGCGTAGTGCAATATCCCTGACCAAGAGGTCCAAGCCTGCTACCTCCTTGTCTTTGGAAACCGTTACCGCGAGTCTAACAATGTCCGAGCTGACTCAGTGGACAAGGCCCTTCTTGCCGTCGGGAAGGGGATCACCGACCTGGGTCACCCGGATCCCCGAAAGCTCAAGGCTGGATCCGACCACAACCATCCAATACTCGCTGCTTTCCTCAAAGGGCTCAGAGATGAAGATGGACCCCCTGACCGCGCCTACCCAGTCAACCTCTCCATCCTCCGAGCTATGCTCGATGCCCTGGACTACGACGACGCCACTTGGGGGACCCTCACCGCCACGTCCGGACCTCGCATCCTGGCCTTCTTCTGCTCCTATGCCCTGCGGAGACCTGGATACATGAATGCTCCTAAAGGCTTCAGAAGCCGGACTTAAATCAATGCTACCAAGTCCTTCTCGAAAGAAGAGAACTTGAGTATCTAGGCTACTGGATTACTTGAGAAGGAATCCAACCCGTAACCAAGAAAATAGATGCAATCCAGAAATATCGCTCCTCCTACAACAGAAGAAGAACTCCGTAGATTCATTGGACTAGTGAATACTATCGAGACATATGGACAGACGATCACATGTACATAACAACGTCGGGAGATCCCAAGAAAAGGAATCCCTGTCCATTTCATTGCTTGACAATGATTGATCCCGTAACCGGATGGTTCAGATTGCGAGATCTGCTCAAATGCAGCAGACGAAGTAGCCATCGTTCTAGAACAGACGTGGCTCACCCAGTATCCATGCCTGCTGAGGTTTCATGGATAGAGAACGTGAGTTCCGCCAGAATCGAGAAACTCTCCGGGATGAATATGGACTCGTCGCAAGTTCATTACCACACGTGTTCAATCGTACGCGATTCACAACGTCCGTTTCGAAGCAAACTGGAAGTACATACAGGAACGTCGCCAACGACTCATCCAACAGAACAACGATAGGGAAGAACGCGACGCGTGTCCCTCATCAATACAATGTCACGATACCGTGATGATTCAACAGTATCAGCACCGCAAAGTACGGTTAGCCAAAGTACAAAGGTCCTTACACTATAGACCGAGTCAATGAAATGGCACTGTACGGCTCCAACATGCTACCGCCAATGGGGCACAGTCTACCAGACTTGGAACATAAGGTATATACAACCATACAAGGCCTGATCCCCTTGTAGGATTGCCATCGTGCGACGCACATGTCTACATCCAACACTCATGAGAGTGCCCCGCACTTAAATCATAGTTTCCTGTTCCGACTGATGTCGTGCCTTCTGTGACCCTTGTCAAGGGGCGAATGCAATACAACGGCTCTTAGCCTTATTCGCGACTCGATCCTAGATAGGGTTTGAGTTCGACTCATGACTGAGCTCTCGTGAATAGTCATTTGAGACAGGGTTCTCATGACTGCTAGTCATACTAGGTCGATGGTAAACATCGCGCTAGATATTTAGCTGGCGTGGAGAGATTCCAGCTACTAGATAAATGCTAGACAAATCTTCCACGGTTCCGTTTTGGATCGTGGAGTGAGTAGAATTGCTACCGCAACCTACTCTATCACACTTTACAGTCTCCCGCGGGATTTAGATCTACGATCCTTTGATTGTGATCTCTCTCGTTATTAGTTTTCATAGCTTTCTAACTCTCATAACTTTCATTCTCAAACTCAAAACACTAAAAGATCTTTACACTAGCTTTTAGCGTAGTGCACAATGAGGAGATAAGTCAGCGCTGTACCTTCAATTAACACTCTTGATAATAGGCTTACCTCGAATCGATTCGATTCGATCGGCCGATTGATAAACTCACCATGCATTTTGTCGGCCAAGCTTGGATCTACCTCCTGTTTACCATACGAATCAATGAGGGAGAGAAATCAGGCTGCCGCTCAATAATGGACTTTCGCTCGACGTCGACTGAGGGAAGATCGGTTTATCCTTAACCTTAGCAACGTCCTCCATGAATCGATCTAAAAATTTCGAAAGGAACTGTTACTTTAACGATACCATGACCGTTGATTCTGCAACTGAAGTGCGGGTACATCTAATTTACACAGTAAACGCGAGCCAATCGTTTCAGAGTGCAACTGAGGGGGTAACAAAAGGAGCGTGGTCTGGGAGACCAAATACCAAAAAACGGGTAGAGGGCTCAGGCAGATAGACTGCCGAGGTTTAAATCAGCGGGAGCTGCGATACCTCGGCAGAAAGACAAATAGAAGAAAGAGGATCTGTTTGAGATTGCACCCTTCTTTCAAGGTAGCCCTGGCGACAACATCCAACTTCGTCCGTGTGTTGCCGCCCGATAACCATAACTTTACAGCTGTCATTCCCTTATGTAACTGTACCTTTGTAGCTTCTGCTGGCTTATTGTGATGAGTGCACTAACCTTGAATAATCATGATTTATTCTTACCCTAACTTGTTAAACTTCAATTTCCAGTTTTGTTGGCTTACACCTATCTCTATCCTATATTTTGGCTTCACCGGACAGGAAATAGGAAATAGGAAATAGGAAATACCAAATAAGTCAGCGGGAGCTGCGATACCTCGGCAGAAAGACAAATAGAAGAAAGACGATCTGTTTGAGATTGCATCCTTCTTTCAAGGTAGCCCTGGCGACAACACCCGACTTCGTCGTGTGTTGCCGCCCGGTATCATTCCCTCATTGTAATCTTCTTTTTAATTTTAAAAGCTAGCCCTGGCGATAACACCGGACTTCGTCGTGTGTTGCCGCCCATAACCATAATTTTACAGCTGTCATTCCCTTTTGTAACTTAACCTTTACTCTGTGTCTTATTGTGTGTGATGCACTAACCTTGAATTAATGATTTATTCCTACACCTAAATTTGTAGCACCTTCAATTTCCAGTTTTGTTGGCTTACGCCTATCTCTATCCCTATATTTTGGCTTCACCGGAACAGTAGGAAATAGGAAATAGGAAATAGGAAATCCAAAAAGGTTAGAGGGCTCAGGCAGATAGACGCGGAGGTAAAGGGGTAGAGGGCTCAGGCAGATAGACTGTCGAGGTAAAGGGGTTGAGAACTCAGGCAGTTTACCTGCCAAGGTAAATTTTTGCCCTCAACGGACTGAGGGTCTTTCACACTTTTATCGCTGTATTGTGTGTGTGTGTGTGTGTGTGTGTGTGTGTGTGTGTGTGTGTGTGTGTGTGTGTGTGTGTGTGGTGTTGTGTGTAGGTGTGTGTACGTTGTTGGTGAGATGTGTGTGTGTGTGGTTGTGTGTGTTTGGTTGCAGCTGTTTTGGTCACATAGGGGACACTTTCCTCTTAAGAATAGGGATTAATATTGTTGTTCAGTGGACACAGTAGTTTCAACATATGGGTACCAGTTCTGGCTGGCTATGCAGACTCACTAGTGTTTCCAGATAAACACGGTGTAAGTTTTGCCAAAGACATAAGGGACATTTTCCTTGTTAAGGATAGGGATTGATATTGTGTGTTCTGTTGGACCACAGTACTTTGGACCCTTACTGGCTGGCTATGGAGACTTGCTAGTGTGTCCAGTTGAACATGGTAAAGGATTTGACCAAAGATGTTAAGGATTCGATTGGGGAATCCAATCAAATCTCTTTTTGACAGTTGAGGGCATCAGCCTCCGGCTGCTTGTTCTTTTAAGTTTGCTTTTTCGAGGTTCGAGGCCTCGTCGACATCATCCTCGTCGGTGTACTGTTGTACTGTTCTACCGCAGCCAATACCAATATTGTACAGGCCAGTGCTCCAGAGGACGGTTGCTTCGCGCTGTAAATCTGCTGCATCTTTGCAAGCGTCGTGTGTGCCGTGGACGACGGGAGGCCCGAAATAGAGCAGAGGATCCGAGACGTTGGAAAACCCAAATTGCAAAAATAACGCCCAGCAAAAATGAAGGAAACAGCCTTTAGAGCACTGCAAGGGATACAGTCAAAGCTCTCCTTTGAAGGATGGCCGGTTGACTCACAGTTTCGAAGCGTCCGTGTGAGTGCATCGTGAAAATTATATGTGAGAAGAAGATAATACTTGATGATGACACTCAACCGCACCACCGTCATTGCTTCCTTCTTCGCTACCAAGAGTCTTGGCAGGACAGCTACCATTGCCGTCCTCCTTGGGGTCATTCTGGGGACCCACATTTGCCTTTTCAGTGTCTTGATCCTTCACCGGCGCTTCACACTGGTGCCAGTTTTGGATGATTTTTTCTCGCCTGAAAGAATTGACATGCTGTGGCAATGGTCTGGTTATATTGTACTTGTGTGCTGCTTTCACTTGACAGAGTTCTTCATCACAGCAATCTACAACCCTACGGTTGTCACAGCAGATTCATTTCTAGTGAATCATTCACTGGGATACACAGCTGCCTTTTTGGCTTCGGCAACAGAATTCTGGGCTCGATTTTGCCTCTGTCCGTCCATGCGGGCACCTATATTCATGGTTGGCCTTGCGATGGTGATTTTTGGTCAAGTTACTCGAGCAGTGGCCATGGCAACCTGCGGGGCAAGTTTCAACCATCTAATTCAAACCTCCAAAAAGGACAATCATGTCCTGGTTACCCATGGAATGTAAGTCATGGAACCACAGCAAATGGTTTTTTCTCGTCGTCATGGGATGTCCCCTAACATGTAGCTTGTACTGTCACTTGCACCGCAATATTTTCAGCTACTCTTATCTTCGACATCCATCTTATGTGGGATTTTACTACTGGGCAATTGGAGCACAAATACTTTTGAACAATATACTTCATTCCATTCTCTTTGCGGTGGCAACAACCATTTTCTTTCGCAGAAGAATACCCTACGAAGAAGAGTCATTGATGCACTACTTTCCTGACCAATATGCCTGCTATGCAGCATCAACATGGGTTGGTATTCCGTTTGTACCACAATTCAAGCGAAACAAAATTGAATAAGGAGCATACCCTACAGTATATGCATCTCACTATAGTCGCTAGTAGAATTACTAGTAGTAGTTGTGACCATTTATTTGATCACTGGTTCTCCTTCTCAGCTATTTGAAATCAAAGGCTGTCAATCCCTATGGATTCTACTCGATTGATCATTGGTTCTCCCAAGCTATTTGAAATAATGTGCTTTCCATCCCTTTGGTTCTATTTGTCAAAACAGAGCAGAAGACCTTTTTGGCGGATGGCTTCTAGCTAGCTAGCACCGATTGAAAGCCTCCATAGACCCACCCACACCACCTCGGCTACGCTTGACACTAGAACGGCGTTCGTCCACCTGTCGCTCAGACCAACCCCGAACAGAACCACCTCCACCCATGATCAATGCTGGACTCGTCATGGACCCCGAACCTGAAGCTTCAGCTTTTCGAGTCTTGTCCTGGACACCCTTGTGGTAGAGTCGAGTGGAATCAAATTGCATTTGAAGGGATTGTTGAATTTGGCTTTGAATCGTCTTTCCTTTTTCCAATTTTCCATGAAATTGGGACAGGATCTCCAGCATAGCCGCCCCTCGTGACAACGGCACATCCCGGGGACGACAAGGAGGTCCATTGCGAGAGGAGACAAACAAGGCCTTTGATTTTTGACACAACTGCCCTGCCAGAACACGGGCATAGACACACTCCAAGACGACTCCCTCAACCTGTCGCAACACTGCAGTGTCTTCCAGCGCAGCAGCCTGTCCATCAGTGAACCCAAGCTCCTTGGCCATTGTGGCATAGGGAATCATGACACACCCAGTTTTCCCTGATCCATAGCCACATGATCCATGAACCAAAGTCATCAATGTCAACTGGCGTAGCTTGAAGATTTGTGTGTCCGTCAGGGGCAACAAGGAACCTTTGGCAGCAGATACGTAGTCACCGTGAGTCCCATAGGAAAAGAGATCCAGGGAACGCAAAAGAATCTCTCCATCGCTACCAAGCGTACTGAGCTTTGGTTGCAAAACTTGCTATAATAGAAATAAATTGTGAGAGAATTTGAAACCATACACTATGCATGCATGCATCGATGGATGGAGCATCCGAATTTACCTTGATTTCATCAAATCCAGTGAAGACACGAGGATCCGAGAGTGCTTTCATCACCACTGTGCGAATTGTTGGCAGGTTGGCATCAGCGGAGTCCTTTGCCAACTGGAAAATAGGCTTGAAGGCTTCGTCTGCATCCATCATGGTCAGTCTGCTTTTCTTAGTGGGGTCTGCAATCGATCTTTTGAGACGGAGGCAACAAAACTGGTATGGAGCAAGATCGTTTTCCTGTTTCGCAGTCCTAAAACCCATCTGAGGGTTAAAGCTAAAACCCATACTATAGCGCTAGGGCTAATCTTCTGCATGACCAACTTCGACGAAGGCAAATCGACACAATGGCGAGCAAGGACAGCTAGGTTGTTGCTGTGCCGCTTCAGACCTCATCAGATATCACACCTTTGGCTTTTCCATCATCCACATTCCTAACCATGTCATCATCTTCCTGTTCATTGCTGTCGTTGCGACCAGAAGTGGTGGCTTTGAAGAAGACTCTGGATGATTTTGTGGAGAACCGGGTGATCCCGTGTGAAGCCGAGTTTGCGGAGCACCTTTCCAAGCGACATGGCGATGATCGCTTCACAATGGAAGCGGTGCCTCCTTGTGTCGAAAGGCTCAAACAAGAAGCGAAGCAATTGGGATTGTGGAATCTCTTTATCCCCCCTCGATTGATGTCACATGTTCCGGACGAGGCTCTGAAACCCCAAATACCGTTGTCCTACCGAGAATATGGCATTCTGTGCGAAACCATGGGCCGCTGTCCGGAACTGGCTCCAATGGTATGCAATTGTGGCGCACCCGACACTGGAAATATGGAGGTATTAATGGAGTTTGGGACTCCTGCTCAGAAAGAGAAGTATCTCTTGCCGCTTCTTCGAGGAGAAATTCGATCCACTTTCCTAATGACGGAACCAGATGTTAGTTCCAGCGATCCTACCAATTTGTCCACTACATTGAAGAAAAGAATTGTAGGAGGAAACGTGGAATATACCCTGACAGGAAACAAATGGTGGAGCACTGGTGCAGGTAAGTGTAATTGTGTGTCACGCTTAGCAACCTCAGCACGTCAAACTACCGGTGCGGTACCTGGTACCATGATGGCAGCGCACCGCTCACGCATCCTTTCCCCCTGCGTTTCCCAGGTGACCCTCGTTGTCGTGTCGCCGTGGTGGTAGCCCGAACTGATACTTCTGGTTCCAGCAATAGCAATAAGCATCTGGCTCACACGATTGTGTTGGTCGGACTTCCACACCCTGGGGTCAAAGTCAAGCGAGCTCTCACTGTCATGGGGTATGATGACGCCCCGTATGGACACGCTCAGGTAGAGCTGAATGCTGTCTCCTTGAACAACGACGATTTAGTGTTGGGGGAAGGAAGCGGCTTTCGTGTGTCACAGGCTCGCCTTGGTCCTGGACGAATCCATCATTGCATGAGAGCCATTGGTATGGCTGCAAGGTCGTATGAGCTAATGCTGCAACGAGCCATGGAACGCAGAGCTTTTGGGAAGTATCTTTGGGAACATGGTGGGTGTCAGGAGATGATTGCTGACTCGGCCTCAGATGTAGAAGCAGCACGACTGTTGACTCTCTCCTGTGCTTCTGCCCTTGATGATGTTGGGCCCCGAATTGCTCGCGACAAGATTGCATCCATCAAGGTGACTGTCCCAGAGTTGTGTTATCGTGTTGTGGACAGATCCGTGCAGGTAAGCTTCTCTGGATTATTCTGGTCGATCGTTCGTGACACTGTCTCGTGGCTAACTTTATCATCATGTCTACATTAGGTTCATGGTGGAGCTGGCTTGAGCGAAGACTTTCCGATGGCAAAGTTTCTAGCTGGGCTCCGATCCTTGCGAATTGCTGATGGTCCCGATGCTGTGCACCGAAGAACACTGGCTTTGTTGGAAATTAGGAAGGCCAAGAAGCGCATGCAAGACGAATTGAAGCGAAGTCGTCTGTGAGAGATGAGTGGCATGTGGTCATCATTTAGCTATATAGTGGCTACCGGTATAGTTGCGAATACCTGTAATCGTCGTAAAACTTGGAACAAGATTTTGTGCCGCTGGAAACCCTCTGCATGCCTGGTGGCTTTTGCACTACCTTTTAAAAGCTACATGTAGGTACATGGTAGAGACGAGGGGCGGATGCCTCGATTTGTGTATCGGTCTCGTACGGTACGGTACAGTTACAGTTGTACTGAAGCAGCTCATGATCAAGTTTCCTCAACTTACAAAGGATGAGGCTTGCGAGGAATTGAGAAACCGTCATAGAAATTTGATGTAATAAGCCATGGATCGCATGGCACAAAGATGGCCAATCTTTGTGCCTGTTTGGAGACGATGAAGATCAAAACTAGACAATCCGTTGATGAATTCCAAAAGGAACCCTACCCTATACTCATCCACAAGGGGACGAAGGGATACAAGACAATGTACTTGAATCTATAGAAACTCACTGATGCTAACAATACTAGTGTAGTAGAAGAATAAACGTCATGATCAGTACCAGTAGAGCTCACGCGATGCAGGCAGGGAGAGCGCAACCAACTAGTCAGAGTACAGGAACAGGTCGGTACGTGAAGTACTGGTATGCCGCTATTGAGGACTCAAATAGTTTCCTATTCTTTCACACTTTACTTTGGTCATTGTTTCCTCTTGACCCTTCAACGGCAGCAGAAGTTGATCTTGTAGGGTATGCTGCTCTTGTCATTCAAAAGGGTTGCCTTCAATGTCATACAGAGTTGAGTGACTCAGTCGCCTTCAGTGAGAATGTGTGCTTTCTTGACTGTTTCTAAAAGAGAACGATGGGATACTACTTTAGAGCGAGTGCGATCGCCCCGCACCTGTCAATCTCAAGTGTCAATGAATGCCCCAAATTCTCCTTTTTTAGATCTGCACAATGTCCGATTTCCCACAGGCCTCTTCGACAGCTTCTTTGACAGCCTCCTTTACAGCCTCTTCTGCAGCTGCCGAATTTTGAATTCCCTCTTCATCATGTTGTTGGACCGGTGCTGCCATTTCGGGATTTTCCATATGTGGTACTCCCAACGTGCCCAAAGTGTGCTGGGAATGTTCGGCCACTGATACGGTCATGGGCGTTGACAGATATGATTGCGACCCGGATGCCACCGAACCTCCTTTGCTGCCACGCTTTCGCAAATGAGCAGCACGTTCCCTGCGTTTCCGGTTTTTCGTTTCCAAGTCCGTTGCTGAGAGTCGTTGGTACCGCTCACGCTCCAGTTTCGCACGACGAGCATTGCGTTCTTTGGCATCACCGTCACCCAGGCTATGGTAACGATTACGCTCTCGTTCGCGGCGTTTCTGACGAGACTCTTCGCTCTGTCGATGGTATTGATCACGTCTTTTAGCATTGTAGACTTGACGTTGCTTTGACGTCATGGACGCGTATCGCTCCCGATCCTTGAGACGGCGAGTGGCCAATTGTTCTTCGTGGCTTTTCAATGTTCTACTGTCTGCTCCGGAGATGACAGATCCTTCCTCGGCCTTCTCCCGGTATCGTTTGCGGCGTAGCTGGTTTCGTTTGGCCCTTTCCTCCTCGGCAACTTGTCCATCCGTCTTGACAGCCAACGCGGCAGCCGTTGCATCTTCCGAAGCCCCTCCTCCTGCCACTGATGCCACCGCCGCTGCTGCGGCCTCTGCAATCATGGCTGATGTGTCTTTATCTGTGGTATCTGCATCTGAAGGTTTCACGTCGTGTGTGTGTTGCACATCCACTGGCGACATGACGTCGGATAGGTCTTGTGGCTTCAAATCGTCCTTTATTGGAGCAGCTTCAACGGCCACGTGATGGTGTTGATCGAGACCCACCATGGGGGGTTCGGGCATTCCTCCTGGGGCAGCGGCAAGAGACTCGAGTGTGTCCTCGACCGAATCATGATGATGATGATGATGATGAGCACCTGGGTGATGATCTTGCACGGCCAAACCAATATCAGGAGGCATCATGAGACCGGCTGCCGTCGGATCTCCAACATCTTCCAGCATTCCAGGAGGGGGTGCTACGTCCACCCCCGCCACGACGCCGGGAGGATCTGTGAGCGGACCAAGCATACCACTACTGGGATCCGCCATACCCAAGCCGTTGTCAGGGGGCTGTTCGTTGTCCATGGTCCCCTCTCTACTTGTAGCAAAATATGTCAGTTCGAAACTCTTAAGATTTGGGATTTCGAAACCTTTCTTAGTGGTCTGCTTGTCGTCGAAGCTGTGGCCTCTAAAATTGCTGTGTTGTTGCTGCTGGTCGGTCTGTCGCTGCTGTTGAAGTCAATCCCGATACAAACGAGTCACGAACGGCCACCGCAGATTTCATTCCCAAACTACTAGTATCTCTCCATGATGTCACATTCTTCCCCACCGCAGGCGCGTTCTCGCCTCCGCCCTGAGCTGTCCCGCCTCTTCTTCTGCGAACGGTCCACTGTACCATATCCAGCTACCGAGACGAGGACACTTCAGGTCAACTCCCAACTCCCAACCATCATCCTGCTTTCTCAGACAGGTGGAACTAGCTACCAGTGGTAACGGTACCAGCAGGACTGGGGAACGAAACGGGATATGGTTTGGTCTCTAGATAGAGTTCGCAACCCAGAACATTTGGGACCCAAACGCTGAAATGGGCAGCGGGGATGGGATGATGAGCTTCGGTGAAGAGAGCGCTACGTTCGTCTTCCTGCTAATATTGATAGGATCAATGAGCAGATCATGGCTCTTCTAAAGGTTGGTTCCTGCTGTTGCCTGACTGCTTCCCATCTACTAAACCAATCTCTACCTGCACTGGCAACCAGTCAAAGGCAGGAGCAAATGGGTGCTGTCTGGCTAATGCAAAAGAGTCAAAACTGCAATCAAGAGATCAGAATAGCCAGCAGAAAAGTATGATACAGCTGCTTTCTTTGGTCCAACAGCAAGATCAAAGCCCACTACCTGGTGTACCAGTACCGCACCTTTGAAGTCTATTATGTGTCTCTCTAGCTAGAGAGCTACTAGTAGAGTAAAAGAGGTGCTAGCTAGACTAGAGAAAGCTTCAAGTTTCCCAACACAAACCCAGAAAGAGGAAAAATAATGTTGAGTGTAGGGTAGGATTAGTCAAGAATTGAGTCTGAGTCACGAAAGGCCGGCGCGTCATTGGCGGCAACAATCACAACTTCATCATTGTTTTCAGAGAGCAACCATTGTGCTAGCAGAGAGAAGGAAGGAAGAAGGAAGCAAGGAAGCAACGAAAATGCCAACCAAGGTATCTCGTCGTCAACTAATTCGAGCCTGTAAAGGCAGGGGATGGATGGTCCAGGGACCAGCTCTGGTGGCCATGCATGAGTTCTTTAACCTCCAGGACAGTGTGGCCCTTGATACCGTCTTGGATGCCTTGGCCAAGAGACTGGATCGCAGCACCACAGTTGTTACTGAATCGTTGTGGAATGGGTTGATGGAAGAGACCGATGAGACAGATGATGCTGTTCCCCTAGACAACGACAGATCTTCTTCGGATGTTCTTCAGGTGGTCAACGCGTTTGATGGACCAAAGTTGGTTTATGACACTACGCGAAGGGCTTTTCGCATTGATGAAAAGCCAATCTCATTGCTGGGATCTGCACAAGACAAGGTTGGAACTTTACCCTGCTTGAGTTATCGCTTTTAGTGGTAATGTTTCCTATTCTTACCCAGTTCTTTTTCGTCACTTTTTCTGTACGTCAATCAGATCAAAATGATGGCGCAGAGATATGCATTTGTCCATCAAAGATTGCTGCGCCATCAAGCCAAAAAAGAATTTCAACTGACTCCAATCGAAAGTCTGCTTGGAAGGCAATCCACTGGTCACGAGGAACCGGTACTGGTGATGGGAATCTTGACCCAGGCCAGCGAGGGAAAATTCAAACTCGAAGACTCGACAGGCGAGGTTGAAGTCTCTTTCCACAATGCCACCCTAGTCGAAAGCTGCTTTGTCACTGAAAATTCTATACTCCTAGTCGAAGGAACATTTGTCAATGGCAGCGACATTCTCGAAGCTCACAGGGTTGGATCTCCCCCATTTCTCGAGGAACGAGAATCGTGCTTGAACCTGTTGAAAAAGCAGGTGCGACACGCTCACTTTCAGCCATCAACAACAAACAACGATTTTTCTTTGGTGGTCTTGTCAGATGTCCATTTGGACCAACCAAGTGTGTTGGCCAGCTTGGAAAACTTGTTTCAAACTGTTCAGGAAAAGCACGACCAATCTACAGACGAACCATTGGTGTTTTGCCTCATGGGAAACTTTGCATCGAGCCCTTATGCCGACAATCAACAGGGTTGGCAAGACTTGGCCAAACTCATTGAAAAGTTCAAATTCCTGGCAAACCAGGCACACTTTGTCGTTGTGCCTGGGCCCAATGACACTACGATTTCCATTCTGCCTCTGACGCCCATTAGCTATGAATCAACGGTTCCCGCCAAAAGTATGCAATCCATTCGCAATGTGCATTGGGGAAGCAATCCTTGTCGACTCCGCCTAGAAGGCAAAGAGATCGTTTTGTTCAACTATGATGTGCTTTCTTCCATGTTGCAGAATGCTATTCAGCTACCTGAAGAAAATAGCATTACGACCCCTCGCTCTCGAATGCTCAAGACAATCCTGGACCAAGGGCATCTGTTGCCTGTCGCCAAATCACCAATTTACTGGAACTGTGATCATGCTCTCCGGATTTGGCCACCACCCGACATGATTGTTCTAGGAGGATCCTCCGCTGCTCCAGAAAGTCAACTGTATGCTGGCTGTGATGCCGTTCATTTGGGATCCTTCTCCAGGAAGGGGTCCTGCTCTTACTATACCCCTAGACCAGAGTTTAACGATGATGACGATCACGAACTCGAAGATGGCACATCTCGATTTGAGTTTCTGGAAGCACTTCCCGCGGAACTAAAGGCGAAAAAAATGTAGGTGCATGCCTTGCCTGAAGTCAATGTCAACCAATGGGTTAATTAAGCCTATTAGTACTCTGGAGATAATCTATAAACTGAATAATGACTGACTAGCTAGACTAAAGAAGCTTACTTCAAAATTTCATAGGACCTTCGAATGGGTCGGTAACCGCTGTAGAGAGATTGGTGATGAGTGGTCGCACGACAGCAAAATACAGCCTTGCGGGCTTCAAAAAAAGAAATGTGTGTGACGCCTTTGATCTCTCTCTTCGCAGAAATTGCTTCTCATTCTTTCTTTGTTGATGGTCCCTTGCACTGCATGGATGAGGTGCCAGCACTACAATAAGTGATCAATCTGAAGTGTACATACATGCAAATGGATAGGATGGGTGGCACCTGTTCTATGCAAAGGCAGAGGGCACTATGGCGCGAGGAAGTAGAATCAAACTCGGTTAGTACCGGTATCAGGAACAGAAGAAATGGAACCCCGTTGTGATCCGCACTGATGTCTGTTTTCTTCATATCCCCACCCTACCTAGGAGCGACGCAGAAGGGCATCGACGAACAGCTCGTCGAGAAGCTCCAACAATAGAGCTCATCGCTCTTCTCGGCATTCTGTCATGTCGCCTGTAAGGAGATTCAATAGAGATTGGATATTGGTGTTCTGTGTTAGCACGTCTCTCGCTGACATCCCCATAAATAATGTATGCTTGTTTCTTGCAGGTACCTGATAGATGCATTGCTTCCCTTTATCCAATGGAAGATACCCGGGAAAAAGGTGGCGAGAAGTTGGATCAGGGCAGGCTAAAGTCTTTGGCGCAGCTTTGTACAGAAACGGTATGCCGCTCTCTGGTAGATTTGCAGGGAGAACTACCTCCTGGACTCCCTCAGGAAGTCGTGGATGATATTGTGGAATCTCTTGTGGAGCATTCCGCTCTCAACGCGACAACTCTTGGGGCACTCAAGAACTGTGAAATTCGCCGTCTGCATCTTTCAGGGTGTCGTGGCGTAACTGATCAATGGTTAGAACCGTTTGCTAATGCAAACAATGGCGGCCCAATTTCTTTGGTACCGGGCCAGGTGGGAAAGGAGTCAGCTTGGTGCTTTCATCCTGATGGAACTGCACCACAGCACACCTCAAGGTCAAGAGAACACGAATCCATTGCCTCATCGTGTTCACGTTCCACCTCTTCCTTTGTTTCCGCCATTTCCAAGGTGGAACCCGAGTCTGACATTGTGGATCACACCTCTACGGCAGAATTGGAAGCTCTCGAAAAGTACGAGGACACGATTTTCTCTTTTAGCACTCTTCCTGAAAATTCAACTGCTTCTGGTTTGACTCTTCTTGACCTTCGAGGGTCACCAAAATTGACGGATAAGGGGCTTTTGCAGCTGCCTGACTTGCCGGGTTTGGAGGTTGCAAAGCTGGATGGCTGCCACGCCCTTATTGGCAGGGGATTGCTGGCCTTTTCTGCGTCGCATAGATTGCACACACTATCACTTTCCAACTGTCGGCGCCTGACAGACGAAGCGATCATCAATGTTTCTCACCTGGCATCTATGGAAAACTTGGTGCTGGAAGGGTGCAGGTGTCTAACAGATCGGGCTCTTGCAGCGCTTCCTGGGCTTTCTCGGCTTCAAAAGCTCGATCTGTCGCAGTGCGATCTATTGACAGACTCTGGACTAGAACACCTTGACTGTCTTGACAACCTGGAAGAAGTTTCTATGGGTTGGTGCAGAGGAATTACAAACCGCGGGATAAATATTTTCACAGCGCAACCCGGCAGAGAGCGACTTCGCGTCTTTCACCTTGCAAGATGTCTTGTAACCGATGATGGAGTCGATTACTTGGGAAGACTTTCTGGTTTGGTAGAACTGAATCTGAATGGTTGCTCTCGGATTGGAGGGCATGCTTTGGCGCGGACTCTGGAACGAATACCAAAGCTGGAGGTGCTGGATGTGTCGTACTGTCCAGGCATACTGTAAGTTGGAATCACTTTGTTTTGCGCTTATCGGTCACATATTATTATGCAAGAAAACAAAACTCGCTCACTTTCCCTGGCAGACGAACCTCTTGGCAGGGCAAAATTCCAAGTCTTAGAACGTTAGAGCTGTGCTTTTCGGGCGTCCAAGATAGTCACATGGCGAAGCTTTCCGATTTGCCCAACCTGGAAGAACTCAATTTGGATTCATGTTGTGTGGGGGACTGGACAATTGCTCATTTAGCGGACAACAACGTGGTCCCGAACCTAAAGTCCTTGGACCTGAGCGATACAGACGTTTCGGACTTGTCAATGGTTCACGTTGCCAAGCTCACTAAGTTGACTCGGCTCTCCTTGTTTTATGCCAATATCAGCAACGGCGGGTTACGGCACATTTCCAACTTGACTTCATTAGAGGTGCTAAACCTGGACTCGCGCGAGATATCCGATAGTGGGCTCACCTACCTGCGAAACTTGAAGAATCTGCGTTGCTTGGACTTGTTCTCTGGCCGTATCAGTGACTCTGGTTGCGCTCACATTTCACAGATCAAGTCGCTGGAGGCCCTCGAGCTCTGCGGCGGAGGAATTGGAGATCTCGGCTGTCAGTTGATTTCCGAATTGGAGAACCTGACAAACCTCAATATCTCTCAGAACGACAGGATCACTAACCGCGGGGCTTCCGCCCTTGCGCCGTTGACAAAGCTCAAGTCCCTCAATCTCAGCCACACACGTGTGAATGCATCTGGGCAGCTTAGGCTGCCCATTTCTTTGACTTCGCTTGCAATGCTGGGCTGTGTTGGAATCGACGACGCGAAGGCCGTGTCAGCTCTACAATCTAGCCTGCCTGCTCTGAAGTGCCTCCGCCTGAATCCGCTTTCAGATGAGGACGGTATGATGTTTGGGGATGATGCAGCTGGTGCATCGGACTCTTTGTGCTTGCTGCGCATGCAAACGTTTGACCCATCGACAGACGCTGCATTGAGTCGGAGGGCTTTATCTGCTGGCCTTCGTGACGTTGATGACGTTGACATTGCCAGTGAGTTGAGCACCATGGACGACCGTGACGGCAACGACATGGAAAACGAGAGTTTCTATTCCAACCTTGATTGACTGGGGGCTCTGTAGGTTCTTTTGACAAAATCGATTGACAACAGTTCATGCTGGATGACTTAGTTACTGTAGTTTTGGTGGCGATCTTGATACGATCTATTTGAAGGAGACAAGAACTAGTTTACCAATTCAAGTTATGTAGTCGCGTTCCGTACCGGTACCAATAGGGAACTAGATCTAGCCAGAAGCAGCGGGACCAGGCATTGGAAATGAAAAGATAATAGACGCCCTCCTCCCTGGAACTTTGCTTGGAACACGCACAACCACGTAGTTCATGCATGATTTTAGTCCGAGAAAGGTTGAGGGTCGAGAGTTTATTGTTGCGTAAGATCAGAATGGGTCGGTACAGCGATAAGTTGAAGTGATATTTCCACTTTTACTCCATTTTTACTGTCCCGTTCAAACATCCACAGAGAAACTTTATACAGGCGCCCTTCGTCCACTGTTGCTGCTTCGACTCAGTCCCTCAAAGAATCTTTCGACAGCCGGCATTTTGAGTAAATCTCCAATCACGGGGGTGTCTCGCATAGACTGCGCCGCGATGGGGAAGAACTGTCCAAATAGATAGATCAAACCGTACAGTTGCAAAATCATGCCGACAATAGGCCATCGAATCATGACGAGGATGATGCCCAAGAAAAATGAGATGATACCTCTGGCCCGGTCTGGCCGTGAGAAGAATCGGACTGTCCTTGAGACACCAATGGTCAAGGTGAGGCCAGTAAGAAAGAGAATGTCCCCCAATGCCAACATGGCAGAGTCGAAAAGGAACATGATTCCCAGAAATAAAAACACCACTCCCTACAAAAGAAACAAGGAAAAGAAAAGGGCTGTTGAGACTTGCTTGTTTCCTCCGAGTTGAGTTGAGTCGAGTAAAGTCAACCAATGCCAAAACAAGAAAAACACCATGCTCATTGGGCCTCACCAGGACCATCAACCCCGTGCCTATCTTTGTATTGTCGTTTATCATGGTTAAATAGGGATACTGCTAATAGAAGAGAAGCTACCAGTATGCTGATGAACTGTTCGTCTGCTTGTTACTTTCGGAGAAGACCTTGGGAAAATGGCGGAGTGTCTTTGGAGGGCCATTGCGCTCCGAATTCAGACCAATCCAGACTCATTCAATCACCAACGTGACCGTGAATCAAATCTTGAAGATTTTACACGAGCGCCGACAAGCGGCGCTCGCCTAGAGCAGCACTGCACGACTAGTGAGTAGAGTAGTAGGTAGGTGGTGGAGAGACTCGGCCATTTATCGAGCCGACCGTCTCCGCAACCCAAGGGGTGCCGTTCGTGATTGCTAGAATCATGAGCGGGAACCAAGGCACGAATGAGGCAGTCCCGTGGGATTTGGAGTCCCGTGTGATTGTGCGACATCGGCCAACCCAATAGCCAAAGCAGAACAGGGGGGAGCTAGCGGGTGGGAGAAGAAGAGAGAGAAAGGGAGGAGGCAGGGGGGGGCTAAGGAGGTTAGTCCTCGTAAGTCCCGCGTGGAAGAGGATTCTGCGATAGTAGCAGGCGCCTGGTGGTGGGGGGAACTGGTCGTAGGCTCCCGCCTGGAAGGTGTAGCACCTGGGCCAGCATTTTCTGGGATAGTGGTGCGTGATGGTGGCGGCCTGGATTCGAGGTAGGGCAAATGGCGTCTGACTTCATCGACCGAGAGGCGGATGGCATCAGAGCCGACATGGACCCAGAGGAGAGCAGTGGCGCCACCCGGACGGAGAGATCGAGCGGAGACTTTCTTGTGGGAGATTCCGGTGTTTTTTTCGAGCCGCTTGGCAGCAAGCGAAGGGCATGGTGATGTTGGGTTGACGTGTACCACTTTTTGTGGACGGAGTTGTAGTGTGTGTAGAGAGGAGTTGTGGATCGCTCAGCCTCTGGAGTGGCGAGGGCGATGTGTGTAGTGCGGATGTGTCGGACGAGACGAGCGAGGGATTTGACAGGACAGAGCCAGGGGTCAGGGTGCCCGGTGACCCACTGACTCGCCTTTGGGTTCTTTTGGTCGGTGAATGTCAACGAAGCCGCGGTAAGGGACTAGGGTCAGACACGTCATTCAAAAAGATCTTGTCAGCGGTGACTTGAGCGACCGCATGGTGAAGGTGATGTCCTCAAGGAGAAAGGCCTGGCTGCGGGCCTCAGGGTTGTTGGTATCGAGGTACTCGGCCGGTCGAAGCAGCCAGAAGAAGGTGCAGATGCAGAGGTCCCGACGAGTGTGTTGATTGAAGGTCCCACGGATGGGGTCAACGTTGTCGAGGACGGAGAGCATTGATCGGAGGATGGAGATGTTGGCAGGGTAGGCCTCCTGGTCTGGGGGTCCATTGGCGTCATGGAGTCCTTTATAATAATTCGATAAAGTCTAGGAGCGAGAGCTCTGGATTCCGTCAGAGATAGCTCCAACAGCTATGCTGGCCTACAGCTCCAGCATGCACAGTTGGCTTATCTCCAGCCAAAGCAGCAAGAAAGGATCGTCCTTTCCATCATAGTTAAGAAAATAGTACGAAAGATTGAGACCGATCCTGATTAGCTTGTAGCCCCTTTGATACCGCAGCAGTTGATTCCCATCCTGTTGAGGCCGGGCAGAAGCAATAGGAGGTAGCAGATAGTACTGTTCCCAGACTGCCACTGCATGATTGAATAACGAAGGCTCCCAGCTCCTGAGGAGAGCTGGCCCAAAGGGCCCAGCAGAGAGCTCTGCTGGCCCTCCTGTCTGACTGACAGGGCCAAGTCCTTGGTTTGGTGCCTACTGGAGGTGTTGAACACTCCTGAGGCACACCGAGGTTCCCTTGCTGCCTGACTATCGCTGTTCTCGAGGAAGGGCTCTAGCGAGGCCCAGTCCACTACTTGAGTATTGGAACGAGAATCTATTGGAGGCATAGACTTGCAGGCAGTTTTAAGGGAAGGAGATTCGTCAGGCAGACAAGGAGCCCTCCACATTACAACAATCAGTGCTACACTACAGTTACAGTTTATTTCATTGGAATTTGACAGCAGGATTTCAAGCTCATCTTGAAGTCCCAAGTCAACAACCTTCTGGTCGATTTTGATATTTCCAACACTCACCACAGTGACAGGAACCTTCTTGTTGGCCATCTACCGTTCCAACTACAAGATCAACACCAACACCATTGCCTCGAGGACCTAGATTCCCACCATCTTGACAACAACCTCATTGCCCATAGCGAGTTCCGATACGTACCAATACAGCGTACAGCGCCATACCTTCAAAAAGCAGACAATTCACTCGAAAGGAAATTTGGTCCTCCTGTCAAAGGACACCTTGAGTCTCTGAGTGAACACGAGACTTATTGATTTGCACCCCTTTGGCAACTGAGTTCAAGTCTTTTACGTCTCGAGGAATTTGTTTGTTTATCAAGCGCAACAGCACGATATCTCTTTTGTGCAAGGGCTTATCGCTTCCAGCGAGTCACGGAGCAGAATTGGATTTATCCAGAGTTTCGAAGCTTATCTCTTCAAATCTCCCGTGCAGTTTTCAAGGGTCACGAGTTTCTGCCCTGTATCATCTCTCT